GTATTAACTCCTATCTGTTTACACAATTTTGCGATCATGTTTACAAAAATCACTCTAACTTCTGAACCAGTGGGCCGATTTTAACGGCAGTTTCGGTATGTAAAAATAGACTAATCAAGCTGTCTGTTGATTAGATGAGAGGTCTCGTCGGAACGCCCATTTCTTTAGAGACATTGACTCGATCTGACACACATCGACTAATGGTAAAGGATAGGCGGCAGTTCTCGCCGATAGGCCTCGGCGAGAGGCGGCTCGTGCTGGTGTAAAGTTGACAGAAAAACAGCGATTTCTCAGCTAATACTTGCATAAAGTTTACCATTTTTGTATCAAAAGTAAGAGAAATCTTTGCTGATTTGTAATATGTAAACATAGTTAGAATTAAGCGTTTATTTTTTTGTTACGAGCAGTTTAAAAACGTTCAGTTATTTTTCGAAACCTGCAGCGTGATTTAGCCGGTTCGATGGACTCGACAATTATACATGTAGGCAAAGGCGGCCTAGGCTTGCTAAATTCTAACTATAGTATAGAGAGTCTTGGCTAAGATTGTCTCCTTGACTTTTTTTATACAGTGTTCTTATTGATTATACAGTACCATAAAATATATATATCAGATATAGTGACTGACCAAAATGAATTTAAGACAATATAAAATGTTACAATATTATTTCATTTATTATTTGTGATTAGGTGCCCAACATTCCCCTCTAAGTAAAGTGGTACGGTCCAACGTGGTTGTGTGAGCTACACTGTGTGGCGGAGAGATTAAGATGGCGTGATAAGAAATCTACGCACTGAAATTAAATAGGTTCAAAAAACAAAACAAATTTATAGACCATATTTTGTGCATTCGCTACTCACAAGACTGTGTCAGCCATGGTCAGTCTGATATCAGCTGCTCTCTATACATTATCACGATACTGGACCTATTTTTTAGCACTATGGACCTTGTAGGCCTATTTTTAATCAGATTCAGATTCATCTTTATTTGTCATATATCACGTACATGAAATTATTTCCTGGGTAATATACACATATCACAACAATATTCATAGTATATATACACAAAAGATAACACTCTCACAGACAGACTGTACCTAACAAATTTCTCAATGCAATCAATGCAAAATAAAACTAGTGACTGAATTTACACAGTTGATTCTGAATGTTAATAGATTAGCATAAACTTACTATCCGGAACACACAATTACGTGATGATAAACATCAGACAGAAAGAGATGGAAGAGTTTAGAAGTGTAGGCATGTTCAACAGTGGACTGAGTAAAACTCCACTGTCCTAAACTTCGCTAAA